TCTTTCCTTGCCCTCAGACCCCCGTGCATCTCTGTGCCCCAGCTTTAGGGGCTCTGCTGCAGGGCCAGGCACCAGGCATGGACCAAACTGCCCTAAGCACAGCATCGAGGCTATGCCCTATGCTTGCACAGCGATGCCACTGGATGGCATTGCAGCAGGTACAACCAACCTCCAACAGCAGCAAAATCATATTTAAAAACAATTTTTCCTTCTTGAAATCCAAGTTTGAACAGGGGTTCCTGGACTGTCTCCGTCCACCTGCAGATTCAGGGTCAGAGGACAGAGGGGTGGAGGGGAGGTGATGTGGGGACATGAAGAGATGCGTCCATCCTGCTGTGCTCATGCCACGCAGCTTCCCTGCCACCCTTTCATCATGCCTTGGGAGGCCACAGCTCCTTAGAGCTGGGCCTTCGGCACAGGGAAACGTGGAGGGGCCTGCAATGGGGAGGAAGGCTTCTGGTTCCCAGCAAGGTGACACCCAGGCCACATCCAGGACCAAGAGGCATCAGAACAGGTAACCACATCACCGGCTGCTCCCTCCTAGATCGCAAGTACAGGGCTGGCGACACGCGATTTGCATTCGAGAGGAAAGTCAGAATTGCTGAACCCTCTTGCAAGAGCACAGGGTGACTTGCAGAGCAAGGTCCCATGGTCAGAGCTGCAGTGGCACCAGGAGGCACAACCCATGCTCCCAAAGCACCAGTGGGTCTTGGAGACACCCCAACGTGGCCTCCTGCCAACTCTGCTCCCCGCCATGGGGAAGATGTGCCAAGATCTCCCAGGCTTCCCGTACTCCTTGATGCTTTTCAGAAGAGCGAAACAGAGATGGATAGGAGGCATCCAAAACCGCCAGGATCTGCAGGTGACCCACTTGAGGCTAGCGGGGAAGGACACAACAGTTTGTGCCACAGGAGAAGGCTGAGAGGGAGGACAGGGAAGCGTTGGGGCTGGAAAAGGGTTAAGGAGCTAGCAGGAGCAAGTTCCTGCAGGTAAGATGAGTGAGAACAGAGAGTGACACAGGAGAGCCCTGCAGAGTGGCCTTGGCCAACCATGGGGAACAGAGCTATTTGAGGATGAAGATGAAGAGGGAGGACACGAGTCTCTGCCTCTTGCATGCACGCTCAAGGAACAGCGCTGCGCACGCCCTGAGCAACGCTGTGCAGAGCGGGGCGCAGGTGGTTCGGCGGTGCATGTTTGTGGGTGCAGAAGAGTTGCAGTTAGAGGGTGCCCCACACGGACGTGGAGCTGAATCAAGAGAGTGGGTGGAGAACAAGAGATTTACAAAGGAACGAGCAGGTCCCTCTGTCTGTCTCCAGTGTCCCAGGCATGGGAAGCCTGAGTTTTAACAGGAAAACTGGATCTTCTTTTATATGGCTGGATAAGCACCTGAACGATAAGCTCATCAAGTTGTGGACATCTTCTCTACGTGCCCTTAAGCTGCATCTGAAAGTTACTGCGGGTCAAGGAGAGAAGTGAGGAGCTCTCACTCCACACTGTCAGCATCCAGCGATGAGTAAGCTGGAAACAGCACTGAGCATTTTTAGGGTAAATATCTACCATTGCTGTAACACGGCACAAACGCCGCCAACAAAGGAACGCACTTCTGCTGCTGCTCCAAGGCAGGAGAGAACCAATCCCACTTTTCTTCTGCTCTTATCAGCAGGTCGCACCAGGCAGGGCTGGGGGAAGGTCAGGCAAGCAGTGCTGGAGCCAGAGCTGCCCTGCAGCCATGGGGGCTGGACGTGCGGTGGCTCAGGGGACTGCCCTGGGAGCAGGCAGCAGGGCAGGTAGTGAGAGCTTCAGCCATGGAGCCTTCTTGTCTGCTTGGAGAAAGCCAGGCCACATCACTCTGCTTTTTCTACAGCAGCCCTGGATGTGTTTGCACCTGATCACCAGCACACCTCAGCCTGATGGGGCCTGCAGGGATGGGAATGGAGATGCCTGTTCCCAGCTCTCACTTTGATCTATTCAAAGCATCGGACCAGATTTCCACTTCTTCTAGCTCATGTGTACTGAGCCCAGACATTTCTCTGCCTTGCAGCACGCAGAGCCCAGCGCAGGAGAAGGCTCTCAGGC